TTTTGCGGTATGCAGGCCTCTCACTGTTGTGGCCTCTCCCATTGTGGAGCACAGGCTCCGGACGCGCAGGCTCAGCGGCCATGGCTCATGGGCCCAGCCACTCCGCGGCATGTGGGATCTTCCCGGACCGGGGCACGAACCCGTGTCCCCTGCATCGGCAGGCGACTTTCAACCACTGTGCCACCAGGGAAGCCCTGCGTCGTTTTTTCCTTAGGTAACCTGGGGGCATAGAGGTTTTTCCATTTTGTTGATCTTTTTAAAGAACTAGCTTTTGGATTGGTTGACTTTTTAAAAAATTTTTTCCCGTTTTCAGTTTCATTGATTTTTGCTCTAATTTTTATTATTTCTTTTCTTCCTCCTGCTTTGGATTTAATTTGTTATTTTCTTAGTTTCCTAAGCTAGAAGCTTAGATTATTGATTTCGGAGCTTACTTCATTCTAATATATACATTCAGTGTTACAAATTTCCTCCTACGCATTGCTTTCACTGCATCCCACAAATTTTGATAAGATGTATTTTCTTTTTAATTTAGTTCAAAATATTTTTATTTTGAAATGTTTTAGTTCAAAATACTTCTTCTGAGATTTCTTTGACTTGTGTTATTTGGAAATACGTTGTTTAATCTCTAAGTTTTTTGAGATTTCCCAGTTATCTTTCTGTTATTTATTTTATTACTAGTTTAATTCCACTGTGTCCTGAGAACAAATATCATATGGTTTGTTTTCTTTTAAATATGTAAAAGTGTGTTTTATGGCCCAGAATGACTCGATCTTGGTGAATGTTCTATGTGAGCTTGGGGGGAATGTGTATCCTGTTGTTTGGATGAGGTAGCTGTCACTACATCCAGGTGATGGGTGGTGCTGAGTTCAGCTATATCCCTAGTGACCTTCTGACTGCTGGGTCTACCCCTTTCTGAAGGAGAGGTGTTGAAGTGGATCCATCCATTTCTCCTTGAGTTCTACCAGTTTTTGCACCACATATTCTGATGCTGTCCTATTAGGTGCAGACATGGCAGGGGCTGTTACGTCTTCTTGGAGAACCGGCCAGCTGTCCTCACGTCATGCCCCTCTTTATCCCAGGCCCCTCCCCCTGCTCCCAAGTCAGCTCTGTCTGAAAGTAGTGTAGCCACTTCTGCTTTCTTTTGCTTGGGGTCAGCATGGTCTCTTTTTCTCTATCCATTTACTTTTAATCTATGTGTCTTTATATTTAAAGTGGGTTTCTTTAGGTGACATGTAGTTGGGCCTTTTATTTTGATCCACGCTGACAATCTCTGCTTTTCACTTGGTACATTTAGACCATTGATGTTTAAAGTGGTTATTGATACAGTTGGATTAATAGCTGCCACGTTCGCTGTTTCTACTCGTTGCCCTTGTTCTTTGTTCCTATTTTTGTCTTCTGATCTCTTCCTTCCTTTTGTGATTTTAAATGATCATTTTATGATTCCATTTTCTTTCCTTAGCATATCAGTTATACTTATATTTTGACTTTTGGTGGTTGCTCTGGAGTACACAGGACAGGCAGACCTCGTTTTTCGTGCTTTGCTTTATTGTGATTTGCGGATATTGTGTTTTCACAGGCTGCAGGTTGTGGCAACCCCGCGTCAGGCAAATCTCTTCGTGCTGCTCTTCCAGTGGTATTTGCTCACTTCATGTCTCTGTGTCACATTTCGGTAATTCCTGCAATATTTCACGCTTTGTCATCTTTTTATATTGTGGTGATCTGTGATCAGTGATCTCTGACGTTGCTGGTATGACTTGCTGCAGGCTCAGATGATGGTGAGCATTTTTTAGCAATAAAATGTTTTTAAATTAAGGTATGTACATTGTTTGTTAACATAATGCTATTGATCACTTAATAGACTACAGTACAGTGTAAACATAACTTTTAGATGCACTGGGAAACCAAGAAAATGGTGTGACTTGCTTTATTGCAATATTTGCTTGATTGTTGTGGTCTAGAGCTGAACCCTCAATATCTTCAAGGTCTGCCTATGTACATTTACAAGTACTCCAAGACCACTTTCAGACACCATACCACTTCACAGGTCGTGCAAGTACCTTATAATAACAAAATATTCCTAATTCCTCCCTCCTGTCCCTTGTATCATTGCTGTCATTCATTTCATTTATACCCAAACTATAACCCTGCGTGTAATACCTGAACATAACGTATTGAGTACATTGTTGCTATTATCTCAAACAAACTGTTGCCTGTTAGATTGTAAGAAAAATAGAAGTTTTTATTCTGCCTTCACTTATTCCTTCTCTGATTTGAGTTTCTGACCTGTGTCATTCTCTTTCTCTCTAAAGAAATTCTTTTAATGTTTCTTACCAGGCAGGTCTACTGGCAACAAATTCCCTCAGTTTTTGTTTATCTGAGAAAGTCTTTATTTCTCCTTCCCTTTTTTTTTTTTTTTTTTTGTGGTACACGGGCCTCTCACTGTTGTGGCCTCTCCCATTGCGGAACACAGGCTCTGGACGCGCAGGCTCAGCGGCCATGGGTCACGGGCCCAGCCGCCCCACGGCATGTGGGATCTTCCCAGACCGGGGCACAAACCCGTGTCCCCTGCATCGGCAGGCGGACTCTCAACCACTGCGCCACCAGTGAAGCCCTCTCCTTCACTTTTGAAGGATAATTTTGCAGGGTATAGAATTCTAGGTTGGTAGTTTTTTGTCTCCATACTGAGTCTTTCACTCTATTTTTGCTTGCATGGTTTTCCCCTCTGGCCTATTTCAAGATTTTTTTTCTTTGTCTTAGGTTTTCTCCAGTAGAATATATTCCTCGCTGTAATTTTTTTGGCATTTACTCTGCCACTGTTCTCTGAGCTTCCTGGTTCTGTGATTTGGTGTCTGACATTAATTTAAGGAAATTTTAAGTCATCTTCAAATATTTTTTTGGTTCCCCTCTCTCTTCTCCTTCTGGTATTCTCAAATGTGTATGTTACACCTTTTGTAGTTGTCCCACGATTCTTGGGTATTCTATTCTGGTTTTTTTCAGTCTTCTTTAATCTTCGCTTTTCAGTTCTGGAGGTTTCTATTGATATATTCTCACGTTGCGAGATCCTTTCCTCAGCCATGCCTGGTCTAGAGCTCATCAGAGGTGTTCTTTTCTGTTACAGTGTTTTTGACTCTAACGCTTCTGTTTGCTTCTTTCTTAGAATTTCCATCTCTCTGTTTACTTTCCCATCCGTTCTTTCATGTTGTCTCTTTTTTCCATTAGATCTTTTAGCATTATTACTCATAGTTGTTTTAAATCGGAGTCTGATTTCATCCAGCATTTCTGCCATATCTGAGTCTAGCTCTAATGCTTGCTCTTTTTCAATGTTGTTTTGGCTGTTTGGAGTCCCTTGAGATTCCAGACGCATTTTAGGATGGGTTTTTCTGTTTCTGCAAAAAACATCATTGGGATTTTGATAGGATTGCACTGATTCCATAGATTGCTTTGGGTAGTATTGACATTTTAACAGTGTTAAGTCTTCCAGTCAGTGAACCTGGGGTGTGTTTCCATTTATTTATCTCGTCTTTAATTTCTTTCAGCAGTGCTTTGCAGTTTACCTGTCCTTGATTATCCGAAGACTAAGCTACCACAGAGTTTAGGTGATCTGGTGCAGTGTCCTGTTATCCAGAGGTGACAGTGGGTACCTCGAGAGGCTGCATGTTTCCACTGTCAGGTTTCTGTGGTCAGACCCCGAAGGAGAACCAAGTCCCCTTCTTTCTGCAGGGATCTGGAACACTTTCAGCATGAGAAAATAAGGAATATCATTCATTGATCTCTCAAAGTATGATAAGGTGTCATAAAATCAATATTCATAGTACGTGATTGAGTTCTATTTTGAAGAGTGGTTTCTTAAGCTGCCTTTGTTGGAAATGAGGTATGTTCCTCTGTATGGAGGGACGTCCTATTCTAAAACCTCACATTTCAGTTGGTAGGGAAATGTTTTCACTTAATGTGAAAGTAGAAATTCGGAACACCACATCCTTGAACTTGCTTTTTTGTTGGTTTGTTTTTTGTTTTTTGGCCGCGCTACGTGGCATGGGGGAATCTAGTTCCCTGACCAGGGATCGAACCCTCGCCCCCTGCATTGGGAGCATGGAGTCTTCGCCACTGATCCCTAGGGAAGTCCTCCTTGAACTTTCTTGATCGCACGTATGGCACTGTGGACGTGCTAGGAGATCCTAGCACAGGGGAGCTTCTTGGGACTTCTGTCCTTGAATGAATCCTGGTGTAGCGACCAGTTGTCCTGGCCGAGCCGCTCCAGCTTCACTGTGGTAGAGACACCAGCTCCTCCTCGGAGACCTTGTGGCCGTGCTCGCGGTGTAGGCGTCTCCCTCCCGGCGTCTGTATGGCTGGAGTGCTCTGTGGGCTGCAGCACAGCACTGGGTTTACTTTTCTTTGCAGACTGCATCACTCCGGAGCCAAGTGCGCTGCCCCCTCGGCCAAGAAGTGCTTGGTCACGGACGCGGATGATGGGGCGGACCTGAACCTCATTGCCGAGTGTGAGTGGGGCTTGAGCAGCCCTCCTGGGAGCACGAGTTCCAGCCAGCAGGAGCAAGAGGCCAGCTTCCAGCGCTCCAAGGTAGGCTGCTGCTCCAGGGAGAGGGCCAGCGCTTGCAGCCTTTCTGGGAGGTTGATGCCTGCTGGCTTCAGAGTCCACGGTGGCCTTTCTTAGAGAACTTACCTTTAAATGTAGAATCTTCATGAAATCTTGTGCACTTGTAAGTATCAGTGATTTGGATCATGGAATAACAAAAGGAGAAGTCAGTGTGTTTGAGGTGGATGTAGTCATGTTGCAGGGCTGTTTATATCAGGTCCCTCCTCAGATCAGTTACAGGGATAGGGAAGAAATGAGATGTCTGAGCAGACAAGAGGAAGCGTCCTGTGCTGGAGGGAGTGAGTCCCTGCCGGCCACGAGGGGACTCCCGGCTCCAGCTGCTCGTTGGTGAGGACGTGCACGTGAACCTCATGCCCTTTGCTGGGGCTCTTCCGCCAGGACGTGTGTGTGAGCTTCAGCTCCATTGCTGCTGCTTCTGAGTTGTGGGTTCCTGAGAGCTTTCCATGAAGATGCGGCGGGCTGGGGCTTCCCTGCTGCAGGACCACCTCTGCCTTGGCGTCCCCGCCAGCTCCTGGGACTGTCAGTCTCTCTAACGCTGGCTCCCGTCCTGGGTGTGTGGTGGTATCTCTTGTTGGTTTTAATTAGCATTTCCGGGAAGCAAGTCACGACAGCCCCTCCATGGGCTTACGTCTTCTGTGGTGTTTCTGTTGCTGTCTGCTTCCCCCCCCTTTTCTTTTCTTGGTGTTGAGGCATAAGGCTTCTTCATGGTGCTTGAACACAAGCCCTTTCTCAGGTATTAGTACTGCAAGTTTCTGCCCACCCTGTGGCTTGCCTTTCGTTTTCTAAGCAGTGCTTCCAAGAGCAGTGTTATTTCAGTGAAATCCAGTTCATCGTGTTTCCCTTCGTGGTCGTGCTTTTCGGTGTGCTGCCCCTGCTTGTGGAGGGTTCCTCCCACGGACCGCTCCATGTGCTGGGGGTCAGTGCTTAGGTCTGAGAGCCGCTCTTTTGAGTGAATTTCGGGGTGTGGTGTGAGATAGTGGGTCAGGCTGCCCGCCTGTCCCCCCACGTATGTCCAGTTGTGCCAGTGCCATTCGTTGAGAAGACTGTCTTTCTCTTCATTTGATACCCTTGGCGCCCTTGTTAATTCAGTGGGCCGGAGTCTCGCGGTGAGCGCCGCAGGCTCCCACCAGGGTGGGGGCTGGTGTGTGTTATCCGCTCGGCCTTCCTTTCCCATCTGCCCCACGGAAGGGTATACTTGACAGGTACGGTGCACTGTTGGAAGCCTGAAATAAAGCTTTAAAATGTTTTTGAATGCAGCAGAGTCGCGGCACCTATTGAGTCCTGAGCCAGCACAGCAGCAGTGTGCGGACTCCCTGAGGAGGGGCCCCGGGAAGCGGAGGGGCAGCTCCAGCGGGGCTGGGTGGAGCCGAGCACGCAGGGCTGGCGCGTGGCGAGCCCCCCAGCCCACGGAGCTTTCCCCTCGTCCAGGCGGCCCCGCCCCGCTGCTTGCTCTTGTTCCTCTTCGTTGTGTGTGCATGACTCCCTAAGGTGTCTTAGGAAAGAATCTTCTCTATGAATGGAAGTTGACGCTTGTAGAACACCTGTGGTTTAGGTTCCTGGTCTGTGAGTGCACACTCTCACTCACACACAGTTTCTTCCTGATACGTACTTGGGCCCAGGTTATGACAGTGGCTACTGTTACAGTTTAAAAAATGAAAGACAAGGGAAATTAAATAAGTTAATTGAGAGTGATGTTTGCACGAATATGGAAAAGGCGTCAGAAACCTCCCAGTGTGAGCGAACCTAGCCCCTGCCTGAGGCTCGTGCAGGTGAGCTCGTGGGGACTTTGGTGGGTCATGGTGGTGGCTGCCCAGTGCCCCGTGGCCACTGCAGAGCAGGCCGCGGCATCGAGGCACCAGCCGCATTTACTCCGCATCCTGAGACCTCACGTGTGTGTCCCTACACACGCATCTACACATGTATGTGTGCGTGGGGATGCGTGGATGCGTGTTCAGGTCCCGGATCCTGTCTGGCACACGTGGCGTATCTCAGCGTCGTGCTTGTTCCTCTTCGTTGTGTGTGCATGACTCCCTAAGGTGTCTTAGGAAAGAATCTTCTCTATGAATGGAAGTTGACGCTTGTAGAACACCTGTGGTTTAGGTTCCTGGTCTGTGAGTGCACACTCTCACTCACACACAGTTTCTTCCTGATACGTACTTGGGCCCAGGTTATGACAGTGGCTACTGTTACAGTTTAAAAAATGAAAGACAAGGGAAATTAAATAAGTTAATTGAGAGTGATGTTTGCACGAATATGGAAAAGGCGTCAGAAACCTCCCAGTGTGAGCGAACCTAGCCCCTGCCTGAGGCTCGTGCAGGTGAGCTCGTGGGGACTTTGGTGGGTCATGGTGGTGGCTGCCCAGTGCCCCGTGGCCACTGCAGAGCAGGCCGCGGCATCGAGGCACCAGCCGCATTTACTCCGCATCCTGAGACCTCACGTGTGTGTCCCTACACACGCATCTACACATGTATGTGTGCGTGGGGATGCGTGGATGCGTGTTCAGGTCCCGGATCCTGTCTGGCACACGTGGCGTATCTCACCGTCGTGTCTCAGACGCCTGTGAGCTGGAAGTGTTTCTGGGTCCTCCCGTCGTCTGCCTCCTGGAGGGTTTTGAAGCATTCAGACTGTGCTTCTGTGGGCCGGCCCCCAGTCCCAGTGTGGCTTGATCTGCTGGCCCCTGGTGGCCAGTCTCAGCTGTGCTGTGTGGGTGTGGGCTCGTGTGGAAGCCCTGGGCTGGAGGTGGGGGACAGAAGAGCACAGGTCGCAGGTCAAGGTGAGGGAGCGCGGTGCCACATGAGGGGGGAACCAGGTCCCCGGGCTGGGGGCAGGGGATGGCATGGAGTGGCCGGTGGGCATTTGAGTTGTGGGGGGTGGGCAGTGGGTCCGTCTGAGTGGATACGGCAGACCAGTCCCGGCAAGGGGCAGAGGTGGCCTGCTGGCGCTGGTTGGGTGGACTTGGTGACGTATGGCGATGGACAGGGAACTGGGGGGGGTGGGCTGTCCGGGTGGTCTCTGGCTTGGGCCGCCAGATGACGGTGGTGTCCGTCCGCTCAGGTCACGAGCACTTGCCGGGGACGCCCTGGGTGTGGCTCTGTTCACGGAGCCCTGAGGGGAGGCCTGGCCAGAGGGCAGCCTTGTGGGGCAGGTTTGAGCCCGGATGCCTGCAGAGTCCACGTGTAGGAGGATCCAGGGCGGTCAGGCTGAGGGGCCTCAAGAGGAGAGCTTGCCCTGGGAGGAGGGCCCTGGGCTGTGGGGTGCCGGGCCCCGGGGTGCCCGGGAAGTGGCTCAGCGGCTGG